AGCAGCAGCATGCATGTCTTTGGTATAGATTTAAAATTAAAATAAATAAATAACTATCACTATTAATCTCAATAAGTTATTGTCAATGCTTCGAAGCGAACAGAGAATAGAAATTGGTATATGCCTTGCAGTTTTTTCTCATATATACTKCTCCACACTAATAAATAAAATGGATGAATAATAATTATACCCTTCAGTGGATTAGTGAGGGAGGAGGTTGTTATACTATATATTAACTCTCCATCTTATACAACTGTGTTCATTTATAATTACTCAGTGAAAAGTACATTAATGTATGACAGCAAAACCATTATTWAACATAAGTTAATTTTCAAAATATAAATTAGAATCTATATTTATTGATAAATTATATATAGGACATTAATCTGTACCTAACGTTTTTCTCGCAGATCGATTCGGCGTTTTCGATGACACCGTTTTCGGACACGTTCGTCGGCGTCAAGATCAACAACGTGTACATGTCCAAGACGACGCCGGGCATGCCGGTCATGGTTAACGCCACAGTGCAGCTGACGGAGAACGCGGAACACTTGCGATCATCCGTCAAACAGGACGTGCAAAAACAGTTGACGGGGGCGCTGCAGAGGCGCAACAACAACGTGGGCACCAGCGGCCTGTGGGTGGATTCACCGGCAGGAGCTATCTCGCAACTTCACGGTACAGCGCCGCCATCACTTACTATATTATTTACACATAATAATCACTTGAGCTTACATCGCGTACTATAGGCATCGAATCGTATAATTTTGTAGCGGAGAGTTATGGACAAAGTGGGAATTAACACTTTTATTAGTCGATGTTAAAAAAAGTTACAAGCCCGCTACGCAGTGTATTCAAAGATATATTTTTTTTCATGAGCATTTAAMATGAAACTGATATTTATAAAATCAAATTTATATGGTTGTTAAAAAGTATTGATTAATAGTCTTAAAAATTAATACACTTGTACATTCCAGCCATGATTATCGTATTTTTTCATTCCATTAGTATAATCCACCGTGCTTATTATAATATTATAAAAATAATCTGAAAATTTACGTCACAAATATTATGATATAAGTAAAACAAATCATGATTATCTAAAAAGAATTATATTTCAAAGTATCGGAATTGTACCAAATATGTATGTGTTTGTTACAAAAATGTTTATTTTAAAACTGTATTATTTTCCATATCTTTGGACTTGGATCCGAACTACACTTGTTATATGTGTATTAAATATTATTATAGTATAGTKTTTCATAATATTATTATATAAAAAAACTTCACTCGTGTACCTACTGTATTATAATGGTTTATACGTGTATATGTGTATAGATCTCGACGAGTGCAACAGTCCGGAACTGAATGACTGTCATYCRTTGGGCAAGTGTACGAACGTGTTCGGCACGTTCCAGTGCGCGTGCCCCGATGGCTACAGGGACCCGTGGATCGGAAACGCTCAGCGTAGTGGCCGGACATGCGAGACGTGCGACCCGGGCCAGTGCAATCTCCGGGGAGAATGCTTTTTCCAGGCCGGACAGCCAGTGTGCAAGTAAGTACCATTATCATAAGTAACATAATAGGCAGAGGTTAAAGTGGGAAAAAATTCCAGAGGGGACTAATGTTTYCAAARAGTTTTAAGCGTTCCATATATAATTTTATGTATAATGTCTAATGTATAAAATCCTAATTTGTTAAAGGTGGACGCTTTTTAACCGCCGTCAGAGKTAAGGGGACTGAGTCCTCCTGCGTCCCCCCACTTTAACCCCTGATAATAGGCCTTCTTCATAAAGAATTTCGGATTTTCCGTTTTCTGCAACAGACGTGTTTTTTTTTTTATTGATCATAAGAACTTTAGCTACTGGCAATTAGTTTTAATTGATATTTTAATTTAAATATATCTTACATCACACTTAGTGCCTATATTATACTAGTATATAAATATTATGATCACCGCCTGTACAACAATATAATATGATGGGAAGATACTATATATATTGTACTTGCATGCATTGTATACATTATA